GGCACCGACCAAAAATGTTGGGAAGCTTGTTTAGACCAAGTTAATGGTTTTTAGGCTTAAAAAGCAAAAAATCACTTTTTTTAAATAATAATAAAATAATAATACGCGTCACAGGGCTGAGTCATCAGGATTTTAGAGATGATCAGATGAGGTATGATCAAAAAAAGGTTGGGAACTACTGCACTAAAAATTCCTCGAAATTGTTCTCCTTCTATTTTCAAATGACCACGTCACTGAGGCCCGATACTTGCTAATAAAACAAAGATCGTTAATCGACTCGAGGGTACGCGTCTGAACGAAGATCTCTCGGCAAACAAGTCGCCATGGTGGTATGGTAAACAGATCTCCCGTCGAATCCGAGAAAGCGAAACGCAAACACCGGTCCCTAACGGCGATAACCCTTCGGCTACTCGAGAGAGAAGTATCCGAGCGAAGCAAAGGCTCGCGAGCTGCGATGTGATAAACTTTTATCTCGACTGACCTTATCGATGAACCTTCCTCGGTTCGTTGTGATCGAACCGATTCGTCTGATGATAGACAGAAAACAGAGGAGAAACGCGGAGGGGAAGAGAGGGGGAACGACGAGCAAGGTCTCAGCAGTTTCCACTTGTCTGTGTGGAAATTACATTACCGATCCAAATATTGAAGCGTCTCCTCTCCAGATGGATCAAACTGTTTGACTTTCCGATTATTCTTGCGCATGGTACTCGATTTTCTGCTGCAGTGTCTAGCTCGTCAGCAGCTGGACAACTGCTGCTTCCGTTAATCCTGAAACCGGCTTGAAGCAAATGCGAACACGTTCTCACGTGAGAAGAGAAACTGAGAGAGACGTTTCTCTTGTAAGTTTCTTATTCAGACGATATTTATCGATACTTTACGTTATTAAAAAAAAAAAAAAAAATCTTTCGGCAGTAAGTATAGCTTTATACGCTTCGAAATGAATCCAAATGAATGAAATCGTCGTACGATTCTTTTTTTTCTTTTTTTCAATTGTGAATTCGTCTTTCTTAAAGATACTTTAAGATCACGCAGCGAGTAGAAAGGTGAAGGTAGTTTTCTTTGAAAAAATTGTAAAAATTCAAATGTAAAATTGAAAAAAAATTGTTTCTTCTAAATGTACGACAGTCTTGAAGATTGAAGCTTTCTCTCTGCATCCTTGAAACTTGCTGTACGATTTTTCATTCTCGCTACTTTATTGAACTTCGAGCGTCAAACGAAATTTAAGAGATTTAAGAAATTCGAAATTTAATTTTCGTCGCGTAACTCTGATGTTGAAAGTTCAGTAAATAGCTGGTGAAAGTCGTACAACTTTAAGGAGTCTTCATAAAGGAGAAATTTCAATTTTTGAAACCGTGGTGGATTTAATCGTAATTTTAAGAAAAATGTTTTTTAATGTTCTTAGAAGTGTTCGAATTTTTAAAGAAAATAGTTCTACTTTTTCGTTCGTTAAAATGTCTTTGAAAAAACAAATTCGACGGAAGCTTCACACTTTTAAATGAATCCAAGTGAATTGCTACACAAATTTTTTTCACGAAGTTTGAAATATCGACAAATTTCCATCGAACGAAGTTCTTTTGCGGACCAATGTATGTACATTCTGATTTTAAGAAAGTTATGCAATTCGTGCATCGCAAAGTTTGCGTGTAATGAATATAAGATAAGATTATGGAAGTGATGCATAGCACGAAATGGAAGTTTACACATCAACTGGTGCATAAAGATGTGTAGCTTCACCTAAAAAGTGTCAACAGACGTAAGTAAAGAGATGTTCTTAGCTCTCTAATCTTTAACCACAAGTGTACTTATGACACAATCAGAGACTCTGAATGAACTCTTGGAAATTAATGGCAAAAAGACATGTTTTTATAATTTTATTATTGTAATAAGATACGTCAGATTATATATATCATACATAATTATATCATCATATTACATTATATATTATCTTATTATTTTATACTATATTATATATTATCTTATTATTTTATACTAATTACACAATATAAAATATTGTTATTAAATTAGAATTAGAAAAAGTCAATACATTACATACAAATTCATTTCATTATTTATTACAATATTACACACCTTATTATTACATTACATATCGGAGAGAGAGACTTAACATTTTTCTCATATTTGATTTTCACTTTAATGAAGACGAAATAAAAATGGTCAAAACACTTGTCAATTTAAATATAAAATAAACATTGTTTTGCTTCTTCTATATAAAAGTATATTTATATTAATAATTTCTAACGAACGATGGAACTTGTGCAAAAGCAAGATTTTTACAAAACAAGCTTGATACATCGGTTATTCTGTTATTCAATATTCGTTATCGAATGCACACGATGGTGCAAACTATGCACTCGAGAAACACGAATGCATATGAGAGAAATGCAGCACGTTGTTATCTACATTTCCACAAGATAGAGAACCAACAGTTATCGTTAACTAGTACATACATTTACATAACCGATTGTACACATATGTACATCCCTGTGCAAAAATTCCGACGCTAAAAGCCAAGATTACTGAAACGGTACAATGGAACCTGAATATATTTGGGACGTTTCTTGTTACACTCCGCTATGGGGATGCAGACGCCATTTTTATTTCTGGCGTAACCATCCTTGCAGTAACAGCCATCGTTACATCTCTGCAAACATGATCGCAACGACGTTCATTTTATATGCTGCGAAACCGATTTCTCGATTAACTTACGATATTTACGATGGTGCAACGTTGATTCAGAGTAGCACACTGTCTTTGACAGGCGGAGCCGCACTGGTATTCCTCGTTTGGCATGTCACAGATCAGTCTCTTGGCGAACGAAGCTAAAATTTGGTAAATTTTATTTATTGGAGCCCACGCTCCACAATTTGATTTTCTAGGGAGGCAGTTCGCGAATGAATTATTAACAGTGAGATTTTGGCATTTCATTAAATGAAAATTTAACTTTCTAACTTTTTTTCATTGATGACATGTTCTTTGGAAGCTTGTCTGGGCCTTTTAGGCTTCCACCACGTCAAAAATTCATTTTTTGAATAATAAGAATTATGGAGCGGAGCATCAGGATTTTGGAGATACTCAAGTGAAGCATGACCAAAAAAAAAAAAAAAAAAAAATTGGCACCGACCAAAAATGTTGGGAAGCTTGTTTAGACCAAGTTCATGGCCTTTTAGGCTTCCACCACGTCAAAAATTTACTTTTTGAATAATACGAATTATCCACAGGATTTTTAGAAATGCTTAGGTGAGCCAAAACATGGTTGAGAACCACTGCTCTAGGCTAAAAATTTGAAACACTCGGATACATTCGAGCAAACCACTTACTGATAAAAGTGGTTTGAGAAGACTTACTGGTAGAAAGCACCACTAAAGCGACGAACAATACACAGACGAATCTAAACATGTTTAGCGAAACACTATTAATGATGTCGTTTCAGTCAGAACACTCAGAAAACTCAGAACTGGTGTATGCAGATGATAACGGAAGCTTATATACATAAATGACTTCTCCATG